GTAGCAGATAGCTGGCTTTCTCTCATTCATTATCTTTAATGTTTTGTGCCAAACAGAACTGCCGCCAACTGTACTTCTTGGAGTTGTTACAGCTATATAGTAGCAAACTGAAGGGCAAAATTTGTCTTCTGAGATATGCACAACTCTCTTTACAAAGCCAAATGGATTTACCTTAGCATTCTATAATGTTTTGGCTGCTTCCCTTTCTTCACCACTGAACTGTAGTCCAGATAATTATAAAATTACATTCTGGGGAGAAACATGAACTGTGAAATGATACAAGCAATGAAAGTGTTTAAGCCTTTTACAGATTTTTTTTTTAACCTTCCTGTGGCTTTTCTCTCCATCACAGTCAGATGTTAAATAAACCAATTTAGCAAAATTTTGGTAGTTTTCTGTTTTTCTTTCTCTGAGATAACATAATTTACATGAGTTGTCAATAAAAATTATAAATATCAGTGTGACAATTTTGAAAGGATGAAAAAGGTGGGAGAAAAAGAAGAAGAAAAGCCTAGCAAGAGCAACTTAAGTGGTGATACGAGTCTCCTGACAAGGCTGCTCCTGCAGAGCTCTTCCTTAAATACCTCTTGTGGGTTATCTCATTGAGATCAGGATAAAGGGATCTCAAAAGTGAGCTCCTTGCATGAACTGCTTCCAACATCTAGTAAAATATTCTTCAGAAAATGAATTTTTTTTTTAATCTTGGTTTTTTGTTTTTTTGTTTTTAATCTTGCTTAATGCCCATTTTCCTTGAGGCAATGGAAGGTTTAAGGTTAAATATACACAATTTAGGAAGACTCTTCTGAGAGGTTAAAAGCATTGTGCGATTCAGGAACCACCAAATTATTATAAAGCAGTTAGTGTAAAAAGATGGGTATAAATACGCTCCTACAGGGATTTCCTTATGCAGTAAGTTAAAGAAATATGTATTTAATAAGTAATGCACTTTCCTCCCATTCCTCGAAATACCATTTTTAATCCCTTAATTTTCTAAAATATGTCTACAGTGAATTAAGTGGGCTATACAAGTCTATTGGGGGGATTATACATTGTAATCACAATTATAGGTCATCAAATTAAGCAGTTTCAAATCCCTCCAAAAGATGCTTAATAACTATTAGACTGCTGAGGGAGCGATTAAGAAAAGGGATTAGATTTAGAAATGGTCACAGTGAGTGAACTGCATAACTCAAACATGTTTAGAAGAAACAGAAACATTTGTCAATATAAAAAGGATCTTAAAAGTGAGTCAGTGCCAAAAACGCCCCACCCACCGTTACCTTTTGGTTAGGTCTCTGCCTTAAAAACAAAGGAACAAACAAGACCCTCTGAATCTTTTTAAGCAAAGTATCCTTTAGTGACTGTAAACATCTTCATAATGAAGACCAGACACAATTAATACTTATCTAGATGTGCTGGTAAGAACAAACACAAGTGACATTGCCTGTGCTGCCTCGGATCGTGCACAACTCTACTTGAACAGCTGTGAGAGGAGAAAACAGCTCTGGACACTGTCCTCTGGAATCCTGTTTTATCTGTATGAGTAATATGCACTGACATCTCATACACAACAAAGATTTGTAAGTCTCAATAGCTGCCACTTCTAGAAACAAACCAGCTAAGGGGCATTAATCTAAAATTGAAAGAAAATATTAAGTATGATATTTCATTTTTCTTTTTGAACTACGGTATGTAATGCACATTGTGGCACATAATAAGACAATAGAGGACAAATCTGAGTCCCTTTGGAGTCAGTGGCAATGATCATCTTGACATCCATGAAATGAAGACTTGGCCCAAGGCCTTTGAATCTGATTGTGAGATAGAATCACAATAAGAATGGTTGAACAGAGAAAAAGCATCAAAATATGTTAAATCCACAGACACATGGGGAAGAATAGTAGACAAAAAGTTATTCTATTTCAGTGACAATCTGAAACAACTACATTTTAGCAATATGAAATGGATAGAGAAAGACGGATATTCACCTCTGCTCATTTAGACAAAATACTGTGGTTTTAACTACCCTGCCTTCATTTGAAAGACTACTGTGTGTACTCAGTACAGCTCCAGAACTACTCACTCAGGTTAACAGAGCAAAGATGTTAACAAAGCAGCAAATGAGTTCAGCATTTGGCTGCAAGTAAGCTGAGTTGAGTTTCAATGAAAATGAAAAGCGTGAGTGTGGAGATTTCTGTAACATTCAGTAAACTTGCATTTTATGTGAAAGTTGGGGTTCCAGCAATTAGCTAAATCTTTAAAATTGATTCCAACAGTACTGTTCTCAGCTCCACCAAGTGAAGAAACTTAATTCTATTTGTTTCTTATTAGACACAGTGACAATTACATAAAGGTGCATGTTGAAGCACACTGCACACATCCCTTCCTTCCTCTCCATTCCTGAATGCTCCTGTGGTCTCCCCCGAGTTAGCACTAATAAACACAGAGGTCACTGGCTGTGCTCCTGGCCGGATGTGCAGTGAACCAGGCCCACACAGTGTAGAGCAGCTTAATGCAAAGGCACAACCTCACTCTATTAAGCGATGCAAGTTATTTTCAGTCTTGAGTTTTGTTGCAGCTCTCATTTGTGACTGAGCAATTAACACCCTGATGGGTGTGACAATGAGTCTGTCCTTACAGAGAACACTGGGGAAGGTCTCAGGCCATCTTAAAGAAATCTGAAACCCAGAATATCATCAAACTGCAAGAGCAAAAAATCACAGAGGCACTGGGAAGACAGATGAGTAGTGCAGTGCAGCTCACTGTACCACCAGTGCACACAGTGATTGAATCCAACAGCTTTGATTTATTAACATACACCTTGCTGTTGTTTGAAGAAACAGGTCACTGGACAGGTGTGGAACAGGTTCTAAGCTCTCTTATGGAAAAGCTCTACAGAAAAATGACAAGGATGATACTACTAGAGACCAATAATGATCTCTAGATCAAAGCACTGATCTCAGGGTCGGGAGATAAGGGTTTCGTTTCTGCTTTATTATAAAATCCCCATGAAAAAAAGGCCAAGTGGACTTTTCAGGTTGCTGGGACCTTGACAAGGGTGCAGATGTTCAGAATACATATGCTCCCTCAAGAAGCAATGAGCAGCGGTCTCTCTAGCCCCTAATTTCAACCTGCAAGTGCTGAGAACTTAGGAATTCTCCCCTTAAGTATTCTGCTATTCAGTTACACTACAGCCTTCAGGTGTGACCATGGTGAACCAGAAACCATGCATCTTGCAAGGTAGTGCTGATCAATATTACAGATCTGTTGTATGGCATATATATTCTATATAGTCAGTGATTTCTCTTTCATAAATTTTTAGAATTTTGCAATTTTAAACTGGGAGGAACAGCTGAATGACCTCAGTAGTCAAATAATTATTCCCACATGCCTTTCTGTTTCACAAATGCAGAATATTGTCCTGGAATAAGTAAACAAGCTGTTCCCCATATGCATATATTTTAGTTCTTTTTTAGACACCTTATCTCAGTATTTCTAGTAATATTTTCTAAACTCCTTGTTTGGGGAAAAATATGATGAAACACTCATTTACAAATTTTTCTTTATAATCTTCAAAGCTAAGAAAGCTGCAAACATAATAATAAATAATTATTATTATAATAATAATCATCATCATAATAAATATATAATATAATATTATATAATATAATAAATAATAATCATAATAAATGCAATTAGCAATTAAGCTTTTAGTTTCTTACAGTGCACACTAATACACTTAGTGCGTTTTCTTGTTTAGTTAAAGGACCAAAGTAAGGAAGCAGACTCCACATAATATAACTTGGAGTTTGATTCTGTTTCTTACAGAGGAGTAACAGATTCAGTAATGCCAATAAAACAAATTCCAGTTTTCAGAAATTCAATCAGCTCTACTTCTTCCAAAATATTCCCGTCAGTACTGATCACATGAAACCAAGGAACTAATGGGGAATTTACAGATTAGAGCTAGTAGCTGATATCCAGGTGTGGTTAAAATCATGGTGCCTCAGTTTTGCAGTTATGAACCATTTCTACACAGTGAAATTTTATATAAAATTAAAACACAAATTTACCTTAGAAGCGATCATTCATATAAGTCAAATGTTTATCTGCAGTTTTAAGAAGTATCTCAAGTAAAACATTTATTAATCAGCAAACAGCAGATGCACTCTTTAATTGTTGGTCAAAGAAAAGTGAAAGAGTCCCAAGGAAAAAAGCTGTGTCTGATGTTTGATTTTTAATGGTGAGCAGAACCAAGTGGAAAAGAATCTATGGTGACTTACTATAGACACTGCAATGAGACATACAAAAAGCTGTTTGAGGTGAAGGGGATAGTTTACCAAGCAGTCTTATTTATATGATACATGTTCTCAAAACTGCTTTCAGGTCAGTATAATTGACTACAAAGTGGAAGGCTGTACAAAAAGAGATAAACTAAAGTGATCTTTGTAAAATACAGAATAAGTTCTGTTTTTTATAAAGGTATTCCTGATAAAGGAGAGAAATTTGAATGGGGATTTCAGAACCTTACCATATATGATCGCTCAGCACAACTCACTCAGCTCTGGCGTATGAGCTGTGAAATATGACAGCACACTACAATGACTTACATGGGCTGTGCACACAGGAGTACGACCCTGGCCTCTAGCACAGAGCTACAAAAATGTTCCTAGCTATCCTGCTAAATCAGCTGCTATGCTTGTGCACACAGGCATAGTAAGCTGTTCTGCAATGCACGTGTGCCAGGAGCCTGCAGGAAGAAGTTCCGTCCCAGCGGTCTGTACTCAGCACCCATGAAACGCCATGGGCTGCAGTGAAACTCTAACAGAGGTGCACTTTGCAAGGCCAGAGCGCTCAGCCCTGTTTGTTTCAAAAGGAGGGAAACAACAACACTTGATGATAATGACAGCCAAACTCTTTCTGAAGTAAAATGACTCGTGAAGAAAGTATGGATAACCCTCTGGTCTTTAGGGATGGGGAACTGGAAGACTTCTGCTCACCTCCCTCGTTATCCTTGTTATCGGCACAGGAGGTTTCCATGGCAACGTTGCATCCAGGCCCTCTCCAGCCGGTCTGGCAAACACACTGCCAGCTGTTCTGGCCCAGTGTGCACCTCCCATTGCCATTGCACAAGTCAGGGCAGCCATCTGGGGGAAGAAATGAGACAGGTAAGTATAAGGCAGGCTTATTCACACTCACACTCACGCTGCTGGCAATATTACTGTGCATACAGAAAGTTTTGCTCTTGCTGGTGGGAAAAACACTTGCCCTGCTCCAGTGCCATGACTGCGATGTGGAGATGGAAGGTCAGGAAAGGGGCTAGCCTGGAGAAGTGGGGACTTAGCTCAAGCCTGGTGGGAAAATGAGCCCTAACAGCAGCTATGTTCTAAGAGCCCTGTAAATGTTCCCATCTCGAGTTAAAAGCAGTAGATAGAAACAGCAGTCTGCTGGCAAGATCGTGTTTTTTTTCCTTCCGTGTGTTTGTGTACATATATGAGAGGGGGAATGTTTTCTGAAGCAAGCACTTCAGTGCTCAGGTGCCATTTATATTGTGCACTGCATGATTCTCAAGAGCTTTCTCTACACAAAGTTTCAGTAAATGATATTGAAAATATTTTCCTCTTTTAACGATCACTTAAAAAGACTATTTATTTAACACTGAGTTTACTGAACAGTATGATGCAACCTGCCATGCTTTCTGAAAGACAAGAAGAGATAACTCACAAAAGATACATGTCTTTAATTGGCTATGGGAATTATGTGTCCAGCAAAAATTAAACGGGGAACAAAAACATTCACTTGCTGAGGTGCTTATATGCTCCAACAGAATGTCCACAGGCAAGAGAACAACTTGACTGCTTTTTATTTTTCCTGCAACTAAATTATTCTCAGGAGATGCCTCTGTATATTACCGAGCATCCCTTTGGAATGAAGGGCATGAAAATCAAATTCCAGCCTGTAAGATAATGAGGTCTTGATAACCTTCCAGATACACCACATCCAATCCACACAAGTCTACGGATGTGAAAGAAGATTTGATAGTCCTGCAGTGGACCTCTCCTATCTCTTCTAATTAGTCTGAGCAGGAGGAGAAGGCTGTGTTGCCACTCTGACAACAGATATTGGAACCCAATCATTCAAGCTCTCACATCTAGTTAGGAGATACAGTCTCATCCTGCCAGGTATCTATACACCCACCACATAACATGTCTCTCATTGCTTTTTGTCTTGGGCAGTGAATTTCATCTCAAAACAGCTCACAAAGCTTCATACTCTCCATTTTCTTTTCAGTACCAGTGATGGGTCACTGAAGGACCTCCTACAGACTCTCAGACTCCTACAGAGTCTCATTGTCTAGCTGGAACAGTCCTTTGCATTTGCCACTGTGACCCCATGCTGTGACTATGAAGTGCTCCATTCCCTTCCCCAGGCATTTTAGAGGCAAGGAGGAACTAATGGGCAGCCCTTGCTCTTTTCATCAGGCACAAGCAAGAAAGCAGCACTGGGAAACATCCTGAAAACAAATAACTGTGTTCTCTTTGTCTGAGCAGCACCACTTCAGATATGCAGCACTGGAGAAAGACTAAGTCACCTTTGCAACCCATGGCCTCTGCAGGTGACCAGGAACAAGAACAACTGTCAAACTTACACAGCTAGTGCTGAGAGGTTGAGCAGCCTTCCAGAAATCACTCATTTAGCCTGCTATGCTTACGGAACCTTCTACAAGTGCATATCTGTCAGCCTGTTCAAAAAGTCAGAGCTCTGAATTTGGGTCTCTTCCTACTCCTTGTAGCCTTTGCTATGATCAGGTGATGCTAGAGAGGAGTTCTTCTGACCCCAAACTGGTTTACACAGTGCTGCGGAGTTTCCTTGTGGGAAAGCAAGCTGCCTTGCATCCCTGCTGTTCACCACTGGTATCACTAGAGGTAAACATTCACTCTTACTTTACCTTACTGGGCTACTGAGAAATTCAGAGTGAGTAATTAAATTTTTAGGATGGAGACCTCAGCTGTTCTCTGTGGAGAAGACTGTCTATAGATAACAGCAACCAAAGTTTCCACATGTCCTGCTTGGGGCTCAAATCTATACCACTGGCAACACTGGCACAGCAGCTCCACCTCTACCAAATGTCTCCAAGTAAGACACCAGATCTCTGTGAACACGGTCAAGATCATTCAGTTCATTCTACAGAGAAAGCTGTCAACAGACAGAAACAAATCCGAAGAGTTTTCAGTGCTGTTACGGTGGACTAAAAAATACAGTTCCTCCTTCACTTAAGTGAAAGGTTGTTTTGGCATTACATACCCCAGCTATGAAAATGCACTTGTTTTTCAACCCAGATAACATATTTTCAAGGCATTTATTTTATCTCTTTGGCTTGTCAGGTTGTTCGAATGACCAAAATGAGAAATGTCTGAGGGGAGGCATCATACTGGAGAAAAAATTATTCGTTTTAAATGAAAAACAAACAGTAATTGTGAATAAACACACAAGGTTGGCTTTGTACTGAAGCACTGAAGAGAATTAAATCATAGGAACAGTTTACTTTGCATCATATGAGCAAGATGAAAACACGAACAGTAGGGAGCTAGCAAAATCTCTGAGAAGTTTATGTGCAGCTGGGGATTAATGGACATGACTTTGCTTTTAGCTTAAAGAGGGAAGCAGGCATCACTGTTACAGACATGATGTTGCTAGGAAACACTATGCTACCTCTGTAGTTTATTTAACGGGCTTCCAAAGACAGACTTTGTGCTTGAGTAACCTAAATATCAGAAGGATAAAAAAAAACAAAAGCAGTTGCAGACTACAATATGATCTAAGTATTTTGACAACAATTAATGGATGTGTTGACTTTCAAAACAGCTTTAAGCAAGGGAGAAGAGTTGAACTATTTTGCATGCTCATGTGCATTTATGCACACACACTATGCTTGTTTGTATATGCACATCTTTATTCAAGCAAATATTTACACAAGTACACAAGATCTGTTAGGCCAAAATTTATTCTAATGACCCATTAACTAAATAGACAAAAGAGTCCCATTATAAGTTACTATATAAATAGAAAGTTTTTTTTTTTTTTTTTTTTTTTTTTTTTTTAATTTTATTTAGGCAGTGCACTTTCATTTGAAGTCTGGCAATCTGTATTTTGTAATTCCTATGTGCCCATGTGCACAGGGACTGGTGCAGACCTAAGCCCCTGCACACAGCATTCACACAGCGCCTTGATGCATTTCAGTGCATTCTGAGAGCAGACAAGGCAGCAGAGCCCCTACCTGAGGAACCCCAGCTGCAGAGCTCACTGCTGGGCGTGCGACCTTTGCTGGAAACACACTGCAGTCAGCCCATGGTAGCGCTGAGTGCTTTGGTACAACATGGTTTCATTGCGCAGCCACAGCTCACATCACAAAGCGTGCTACCTCCTGGCTGCCTTGTGGCTCTACTCACAGAGAAAGGCAGTGTGAGAGAGCAAGGCAGGTACAGCAGTGAGCAGATTGGAATCTAACCTTGAGCAGTAATTCAGCACAGCATAAAGCTCTCAGTCACTGCACGGAGAGGGTCCTCCATGCTAAGCAGACAGGTTGCTATTCCTAAGGTGTAGAAAAATTCTACTCATCTTTTCTATTACAGTATGCTTAATGGAAAATGTCAAAAAGCCAGCTTAAAAAAGAAGAAAGTGCTTGTTTAAAGTGCCAGATAGACAAGCTATTTATTCACAGAACAGTCACTGTATGGGCAACAGCAGTTCATGTGTCTCACTCTTCCAGCTGTGCCTGCACAGCCCTGCACACACTGCTGCGGCAGGAGCCCAAGCACTGAGGCAGCTCCTTCCCTTTCAGGCTCCCTCTGGTCTCTGAGACTGGTGAGTGTATGTACAGGAACATATGCATTTTGAATTAAAATAGCAAGATAAAATTCAGTGCTATTTTCAGTGTACTGTCGGGAATATGTGACTAGCATTGTGAGGGAGTATCACAGTAAGAGAAGATTTCAAAATCAAAACACTAAAATCCATTCTCCACTCCACAGAAAAAGCATCCAGCATTCATGTCAAGTGAATGCTGGAAGACACTGGGAAAGGAAAGGGAGAAATGAAAGCTCTTATATCTCTGAATCTAAACTTTGAAAACAGTTGATTTTCTTGTCCTAAGAATGAATTAGATTTGTGTCTCTTGACTGTGCTTATCAGTAAGAGGAAGAGAATCCACCATGGATGCTACATACACAATGCAGTAGAAGAACAAGATGCTGTTACGCAAAACACTAAGAAAAAGAATACACAGAGAAAACACTTTGGTTATGTTTTCTCAATTTTAAACTCTGATCAAATGCATATGAAGAATTATTTCATTTCAGTTATTCCTTAATATTCACTATGGAAAAAGAGTCAAATAGGTTCAAGACCTCTAGTTATACGTAACAGGAAAAGAAAGCGCTGTTTGAAAGCCTTTGCAACCCAGAAGACGCAACGTATTAAATACTAGACTTTGCTATCTGTTTGTAGAGCTCCACATCGCCACAGTCCATGATGGGGCCTAGAAGATGTTATAAAAATAGAAATTAAAGTGTTACTGCTGCTCATATTAACAACTGAGGAGTGAGAAAAATATAGTGACCCCAGAAAACAAGAAGAACTGCTATTACTGAGTTCACTGTAAGCAAAATTAAGTCCACTGCTTCCAGCAGGCCTATGTCAGCTTTATCTGCTTCTAAAACTTCTTATTTTTGAGACCTATGAGATTTACAGAAAGCTGAACTTAACAAGAAAGCTCACAGAATCATTATGAATAGTCAAGAAAATCAATATGGACAGTCCTTGTTTTCAAGAGTGATAATGGTTAATGTATTTATGAGACAGTGCTCATAGGTTTTATCTACGGTAAAACTATTCTGGGTCTAAACTGTAAGGTGATTAATTCATTGATGAACTCAGCAAATGAATTTCCAGTATCTAGGCAGTACATGAAAAATCTGAATCCAGTTTTGGATAAATTCCACATTGAGTTTGTTTCCATTCCATGGATACTGACAAACCCCAGGTACACAATTACACATGTACACAGCTACTCAGGCACATATAGGTTTTCTTTTGCATAAACTAATTCAAAGCTCCAAAACAAACTCTTCAAACAAATCAAAGTACA